TTGTGTGGGGCGTGTGGGGTCAGACGTCGCGAACGAGATAAAAATGGACTGTTTCGTCCTTATAACACGTCTTGTGCAATGTCCCGGTAGTCCGCTGTCACGGCGAGCACGCGGGAGTCCCGGTGTGTTCGGAATACCCTCCCAGGCTGAGGAGTTAGACACCGGGAAGTGAAATTCTGCTGCCCATCCATAGTACTGCCTATGAGGTGGTCCACAGTAAAAATACTCCCAAAGCCAAGTTCTACAGATTTACTTTAGGAATACACGAAGCGATCAGAGCCTCGGTTGTGCCAGGACGTGTCACTGCCGGGTCGTGTGTAGTGCCATTGATTTCGGTGATCTGTGCCGGGTAAGAGGCAGCACCTCCTTACGTGGTAAAGATTGCCTGGGGCAGCAGGGCCTGGACCACAACTCTGGAGGTATCTACACAGTTTGCAGTTAAAAATAACAACAACCAGTGATGCTGACAGTGGCCCGAGTAGGTGAAGTTGAGTCGTTAAAGTGGATGAGAAGGTTTTGGCCCTGTGCAGTTCAGTGGATGAGATACTGCCCCATTGACTCACTTTATCACTGAAACATGGCTAGTTGCCCCTTGTAGCACGTTCAACAGGTAGGTAAACATTTAATAGAATGCTCAATGATTTTTCTCATTTCTTTTTCATCACAGGTTTGTATGATTGCTCATGTAACTGCCAGGAAAATGCCAGCCCTTCACCGGTACGAAGAAGAGAAATTCTTCATCAGTGCTGAGGGCAGGAAAGAATCTGTACCAAGTATACATGATCCCCCTACAAAGGAACTCTCTGTTGTTGTGCCTTCTTACAATGAGGAAGACCGGTGTAAGATTTTTCTTGTTTTGAGAAAAAGAAGAAAATCTATCTCTTGTTACTCTAATAATGCAGAGGTCAGTTTATATTAGCACTAGAGTCTAGCAGGCCAGATTATGTATCTGATTTTGGACACAGTTTCTAGAAAACAGTCCAAGTACATTGAATTTCAAAATTAAGACACTGTGTAACTTGATTTCTGCTGCTAAAAATAGCATGAGGCACTTCTAAGAAATCTCTTTATTTTAATGAACCCCAGCAGAATGACTGCTTGTTGTCCATGTAAATGCTGTAAGGCAAGAAGTAGAAGACTCTTAAATTTTATTGGAGAACTATTCACTCTGTAAACAGCAGCAGCAGCCTTGGACAAGCAGAAGAAAGGATGATCTCATTGGTTTCTGTTTGACTTGGCCATATATATATATATATATATGAGTACCTGATATTGATGAGTGAAGGCTTTCAGATGTGATAGAAATAATTGAGCTCTGAGGCTCTCCTTGGGGTTGATGTGGTAGCACACTGGGTTGTTCCTTTTCTTGAGTGAAAATATTGAGCTCCTTGGGATTCCTTTAGGAAAGATGTTGACAAAGTGTATCTGGACACAGGGAAGGCCTGTTGACCCTTTCTCAACTCCAGTGTATTCCTCAGTCCTGGTTCTCATTCATCTGTTTTTAGTAAGCAAGCCCTTTAATATGCTTCATCTGATTTTAAGTTAGTTGTCCTTCTCCTTGGAGACAATCACCTGAGATGTGCTTGGGAATGAACATACACTGCAAAGACAGACACAAGGCTGAATGTTTCTCTAAACCTGCAGATAAACCAGCTGCAAAAGTGGTGTCTGTATGTGTCAGCTTGCTTAAACAGACAGAGTCACTGCTGCTTTGTGGGGTCAGTCACGAAGAGTAATTATTTCTTTTTCCTTTAATATTGTGTAGAGAATTGCATATTTCAAAATGGAAAGTTGGTTCTTCAGAAGAAATGTTTTTATCCTGTCTTACACCTGTGATTTTCTTCAGTGTTCTTCCTGCATTCAGAAAGGACAGGACTTAGAGCTGCAGGTGCGAAGCTTGTTTCCTGAGAGTAGTGCTGTGTGAAAGAGGCAATTTGCTCAGCTTTGCTTTCTGGTTGTTTTCAGCTTGCTTGTGCAGGGTGCTTTTTGGTGCTTTGCCTGTTACAATCTACTAATCTGACCTCCACCACCTTTCCCCTAGTGCCTCTTATGATGGATGAAGCTTTGGATTATCTAGAAAAAAGACAGGTACTTTCATTTTGAATTCAAGATTATTTTTTTTTAATGTATTTACTTTTTTATTATGGTGTGTATTAAAGCAGAATTACTTAGCCACTTAGAAGTAATGCTCCTGTCTCTTGCATTTTTAGATTAAGTAAAAATTTAAGGTACTATTTTATGATTAAAAATCTCTGTGTGGATGGTATCTTTCCAATACAGTGATTAAGGGTTAACTGTGTATTTAGCTATCCAAACTAAAGCCTAGTTTGTTCCAACAAATTTCTTAAGCATCTTTTCTTCATTAGGATTTGTTCACTGGGTAAAAAGTCTATTGTGAAGGTTTCTGAGCTTAGTTTTGTTTGCTCTGAGCTTTCATCTTTTACAACTAAATTGATTTTTCAGTTCTAGATGGTAGCTGAGGAAACCTGTGACAAGCCAGTAACGGAGCACACATCAAACATGGCAAAATTCTTTAATTATGCCATCTTTAACAAGTTTACTCCATCATATTGGTGTCTGTTGGCAACCATGAATGAGTTAAATACTGCTAGGGAGGAAAGAATGCTGATGTTTGAAAGACCTACTACCTACTTAAGAAATGGGATGAAAATGCATTGTTTCTGGTTTTATTTTCAAGAAACGAGATCCTTCATTCACTTATGAAGTTATAGTGGTTGATGATGGTAGTAAAGATCAGACTACAAAGGTAAGGAAAAGAAATGTCTTACCAAGTAATCAGAGGTATGGGTTTTTGTACTGCATCTGTGGAATATAACAAGGGTTTGCATTTGTGTTTTGGTACTTGAAGTAGTTGACAAAGTTCCACTTTCTGAGTAGTTTCTGTTGTTGTCCTGTATGCATGTGAGAACCATTTTCCTGTAGCTGAGATTCTAATCTTAATTTCAAGTAATTTCTTAAGAATTATTCTAGAAGTGCATGGTCAGGTGAACGTGAACTTGAGCAAGCTAAAAGATTTTTGAAGTAGCTGATTTATGCTGTGATTGACAGAGGAGCTGACATGTTGTTTAGCTCTTTGCCATACCCTTCATAGCATTGCTCACTACTTTTTTCCTACTTTTTTGTGTTTGAGTTCACTACTAAACTGAATGCTGCTTTTTCTTCTACTTCCCTTAAGCTTGTCCATTAAGGTTTGTTTGTATGTATTTTTGACTGTTTTGCATTCCTTCTAGCATCATTTCTAACTGAGCACACTGTGGGCAGGGCCCTCTGGACTTACAAGGACTTGAGGCAAAAAAGAAAATAACAGGATAAAACTCACTTTCTCTACCCCAGAACACGGAACCAAATGTGCACATCTCTGCAGCTGGAATTTGATTGTAGATCACTCTGAATTTTTGTTTAAAACCACAGGTAGCAGCAAGACAAGTGAGAAGTATCTAGCAGCAGTAGAGAATTATCGTTCTTTGGTTAACTATTGGTCTGTAATAGTACAATATAAGTTGCATTAGTGTTGAGTTTTTTGGACTTGAGTAAATCAGCTTTACAGTTGCTTGGGGGAATACTCTTCATGTTGAACGTGAGTAGCTTCTTCAGTCTTCTTGTGTTGACTGTGAACAGCTTTTTATTTTGCCACACTCCAGCAAACACTGGGCGATGTATTTGTGCTGACTGAAGTGGTTATAGCTCTGTGCTATTAGTTTTTGTTTTGAAAAAATATACTTAACATAAACTTCTGTCTTGATTCCTGGTTTTATGCTGGGCTTTTTTTGTGTGTGTCTTATCAGGTTGCAATGAAGTACTGCAAGAAATATGGAAGCAACAAGGTGCGAGTGCTTACTTTGGTAAAAAATCGAGGGAAAGGAGGAGCAGTCAGGATGGTAATTGATACTTTCATCTCTTTCTCTGTCTGAACTACCTGTGCCCAAATATTCAGAAGATAGAGCTGTACTGATTGACATTTTGAATTCAATACATTAACAAAACGCTTAACAGAAAACTGGTACAGTTGAATTAAGGCAAAAACTCTTTTCAAAATAAGCTTATTGTTGGTCTTGGAAACAGTATTTTCTTGCCAGGAAGATCAATAACAAAGAATTTTTTTGTATGAAAACTCAAAAGAAAAGAACAAGTTAGATTTTAATTCAATGTTCCTGTTAATTCCACTTATAAATAAATTGATGTTTAAAAAACAACAACAAAATTCTTAACCCCAAATCTCCCCTTACAGATTAAACTAAAGCTTTTGTAGTGGAAATACAGCTAAATTTGGAAACATTTCTTTCCAGGTCACAGTTGTGGTTTTAAAAAGAGCTCATGAACAAACACTCTCCAGCAAAATCTGTGTTTACTGATGCACACTCAATAGTAGAACCAGCACAGTTTATGCTTTCACATATTAAATTTCACATAGATATTATCATAAAATCATCACATTCTAAAACCAAAATCGTTGTTACGTGTTTAGAAAGAACATCTTTTCCAGAGATGAGTGGCACCTTACTTTTATGGAAAAATTTGGTATCATTTATGGGTTATCAGTGACTGCCTTTAGCTATGTATTAAGCTCTGTTTAATAAGTCAGTTTAATTTTTTTAATGAAACATGAGTGACTGTAGCAAATGGAGAGAACATTAAATTAGAATGTATGGAACTTTGTAAGGTTTATAATTTTGAAGTTATTCCAAGAGAAGGAGAACAATCCTCTGGGTGATATATTGTAAAGTGAATGTATATACTAGGACTCCCTTGGCAGGTTTTTCCAAAGTCACACATGCTGGTTACAACAGTGTTTTTTGGGAAACCCACTGATAATTGTTTTCCTGTCTGGATGCTTTTGAAAAGTGTTATCAGTGTCTGACCAAGAATACAGCACAAAAACTGTGAGACCTGTGCATCACAAATGATTTGCAGCAGTATATACTAGGACTCCCTTGGCAGGTTTTTCCAAAGTCACACATGCTGGTTACAACAGTGTTTTTGGGAAACCCACTGATACTTGTTTACCTGTCTGGATGCTTTTGAAGAGTGTTAACAGTGTCTGACCAAGAATACAGCACCAAAGCTGTGAGACCTGTGCATCACAAATGCTTTGCAGCAATACTGTGACTTAGGCCTTACTTCTCAAAACTAATTTAATATTATCTCTTGAAGTCTCTTGATAGTGTTGGGAAAAATGAGCACTGCATCCTCCTTTCCACAGCTCAGATGGCAAAGAAAAGCTGTTCAGTGCAGTGGCAGATGCTAATCACTGTTTCTTTGTGCTCCCCTGTACAGCTGACTGTAGCAACTTCTTGTCCCTTGGGATTTTGGGTTGTAAAGCTTTCAGTCTGCAAGCTTCTCTGGAGAAGGGTTGTTAACCTTTGGTGTTCATGCATTGTCTGCCACTGTGGGACACCCCTCAGTGTGTGAAGTCTCTAGATGTTATTTCAGTTTAAAGTGGTAAATTTTTCTTAGTAGCAGAATATTAAGACTTGCCCATTGTGTTGAATCTTCGAGATGCCACTGCCCTAATTACTACATCAGGGTTTTAGAGTGTCTTGCAGCTAGCTTACGACAACCACTGATTTCAAAGGTGTTGATTTTTATTTCCTGTTTTGATTGCAGGGTGTCTTTAGTTCTCGTGGGAAAAAAATTCTTATGGCTGATGCAGACGGAGCTACAAAATTTGCAGATATTGAAAAAGTAGAAGAAGGTCTGAAAAATCTTCAGCCGTGGCCTGTGAGTATAAAACCTGTGGGTGTAAACCTGGTTTTAGTTTAAATGCATGCAGATTGATTTTAAAATTCTCTTCAGCTTTATTTTTTTGGTTGAAGACCCAGGTGTAAGTCCAAAGACCTGGGTGCAGGCTTAGAGGCTGCAAGAATGGGCTGTCTGGAGGCAGCTTCCACAGAGTTCTTCCCTTTGTGTTTGCTGTGTGTGACATTAAGTGCCTGGGAAGGCTGAATGCTTTTCTGTGCTAATTAACACATTTACCATTGTGTGTCATCTCTGAGGAACAACATTCACTAAACCAGACCTGAATAAATGGTGGCAATTTGTATGCAAAATGTAGCAAACTTTAGATTCTCTGTTAATTGTAGAAAAGACTGATGCTGGTCTCAGTATTTAGCAATAGGAAAGGTATAACTACAGAAATCAGAAAATATACTACTTTGGAGATTTTTATTATGCAGTTCTCAGCACGAGATTCCACTGATTCAGAAAATAATTTAAGTAATAACTGTTTCATCTGTATTCTTGTACAGAACCAGATGGCAATTTCTTGTGGTTCTAGAGCTCATCTGGAGAAGGACTCAATAGCAAAGGTTGGTTTCCATTTCCTGTTTTGTACTTATACTCAAATAATCCCATTATTTGATTCTGCTCTACAGTTTGTACAATTAAATATATCAATATTTGTAAAAGAATGGAAGCTGAAAAATAGGAAAAGCTTGTCCTAAGTGTAGCATGTACTCCATCATAGGCAAAGGATGTGTTCTAGAATTCATCCACTTTGAACTGGTGGTCAGTTAGTGTTCCAGTTCACAGAGTTAATTTTCCTAGTTGAGAACATCTTGTAAGCAGAATTTCAAATCCCTGACAGAATTGGTAGCTAGTAACCAGTACTAGGGATGGAGTGGAAGGCAACTGATGAGTTAATTTTTATTGATTCCCTCCCAGTGGAAGAGCTTGCTCTGCAGATCTTGAAACCTGTTTGAAATGAGTTAGGGATAATTAGCAGCAAACTGTTTGAAGAGTATATGAATTCTTGGGAAAGTACTGTGATTTTTCTCTATTCCTCATAGTAAATTTTTTGAGTTTTGAACACACAGACAGCACTGTTCTGCATGTGGCTCTTGTGGAATAAACAGTGATGTGTAGGCACACAGTCTTATCTTGCATCTGGTTTTCTGATGTCTTGGCAGACAGTAGTTGACAAAGCACAGGCGTGGAACTTCTATTACAGCAGGCACATTGCTGGACTGACTTTTTCAGCATCCTTGCATGTGCTCATTGTGTTGAATGTTCTCTAGAGTAAGATTTGTTTATTCTGATGTTTAATACTTGAAATGATTCTAAAATATACACACAACTACTAAAATAGTTCCAAAAGTTCAAAAAAAGTCACACTGGTAATGTTCAGTCCCAGAAGAACTGTAATTTTTTTCTTCTGGTTTACCAGGTAGTATTAGAGTGATTCACTGGAAAGACTCTTTGTAAATACTGCTGTGTGTAAGTTAACATCCTCAAAAAAACCAAACCAAAACAAAACAAAAAAACAAACCACCAAAAATCAAACCCATCATTATCAGAAATTAGGATAAATCTTTGATGGGATACTTGCATACTTGTAGTACAGAATATACCATTGGTAGTTATTTGTTAGCTGTGCAGCCAGTGTATCCTGGAAATGTTTCTGCTACGTGGAGACTGTGTAGATAATAAATTTGAGTCCCATTGTGTAGTGCAGCAGGTATAAAAAAAAAAGATTGCAGACCAATCTTTGAGAAGTTGGGATTTCTCTCTGCCACTTAGTGGCATCTAAAACAGCAGAATGAAGCTCTGAGAAGCAGCCATATGGGATTTATTATTAGGACCAGAATTTCGCACTTAAGTTCAGTCTCAAGACATGAAGAATTCTGTTGTGCCTCCAGATTTGTTAATGTACTTCAATGAATCCCTTGTGCAACGTGCATAAATAGTCCTGGGAGTGGTGAACATAACCCCAGGAGCTCCTTTTTGTGAAGTGCACAGTTTTCACTGGCAGCCTCTCAGAGCTTCCCTTTTGGGTTAACAGCCTTTGGTCACACCTTCACCAGAACTTTTGGTTCACCTTCACCAGAAGAGCCAAAGAATCCACACCAGATCCACCATTAGCCTGAGGCTAGAGCACTAGAGAGGTGCAAGCTATGAAGTTCAATGTCTTTAGGCCAAGGGCTGTTACATAACAAGCTGAGCATCTTCTCATTTTTCCAATGAGGTTTGAAATTATTAGCTTTAAAGATGCCTCTTATCACCCAGAGATGCTTACCAGTTTAATTGTTGACTCCTAAAGGTTTTACATGCTATTTGGCTTGAAGACTTAGATACAAACACCTAAATTGAGCTGAAGACCACCAGTGAGTTCAGAAGCCCTTTGTGGATCAAAGTTCTAGCTCTTCAGGAACTGCCTTGAATACAAGAGTAGGAGAGACCTCTGCAAACCCAGAGTACCATATCTGGATTCTCTGGACAAACTTACCTGTATGATTATTTCGTCAAGAACAGAAGTGAAACCAAAAAGTAAGCTAGGAGAACATTTACTAGGGACATAAAATACCTTTGTGAAAGCAAAAGAGCAGAAGAGGTGACTGTGTAACATTGCTGTAAATATAAAATGAAGAAATATCTTGCACAGCAGCTATTACCTTAGTCCTGTTTGTATGTGGTTTATCATCTACTGAAGAAAAGTTCATTCTCTGATTGCATTCCTGTAAGTGCCTTAACATGGTGTGTGCAAGCTCTGGAGATCATGCAGCCCTCAAGGAAAGCAGTGGGTGGCAAACAACAAGAGATGCTCCCATTTGGAATTTTTTTTTTTAGAATATAAAATTTATTTTCTTTTTGTGTCAGAATAGCAGCTGGAATCTGTTTAGTTTTTAGTGTGTATTCTTAGGAATGGCAGTCTTTATGCAGTCCTGCTGGCTTATTCTCCACTGTTTATCCTGATAACTTTTGAATTTGTTGGACCTGTTTGATTTTTATGAAGAGGACTAGACAGAGGGAAGAAATAGCTTCTGAGAGTCCAGTGGAATAGAGCATGTAGTAATGCTATCCCCCTTCTCCTTCATGCTGCTTTTCCTGGGGGAACTCCCAGAGAAGCAAGCAGAAGCAGCTCTGGATTTATTCCAGTGCAAAACCAAAACCAGTTTGCAAACTTTGAAAGCTCTCATGAAACAGGATCATTGTAAGCCAGCTTTATTGAAACACTTCACTCCTCCCTCAGATGAAGCCACCTAACTTCTGGCCTTTTGTCCACAGCGCTCCTACTTTAGAACTCTTCTCATGTATGGCTTCCACTTCCTCGTGTGGTTTCTCTGTGTCAAAGAGATCAGGGACACGCAGTGTGGATTCAAACTTTTCACCAGAGAAGCTGCCTTGAGGACCTTCTCAACTCTTCACATTGAACGCTGGTAAAGTCTTCCTGTCTTTGAGGTTTTTTGTTCCTTTTCTAATTGAATGTGGTTTTGAAAAAGTAATTTCAGCATTGCAGCTACTATAGAGCATGTGATAAGTAGTGGCTATGTATCAATCCTACCTGCTCAGTTTAACCACTAGGAATTCTATTTTATTATTAAGATATACTTTAGGAAATAGTAGAGTATTTCATTTTACTCTTTCTACTTATGATGGTGGGGAGAAGGGGAACAGGTGGACTTCCTAAGTTTCAGTTTTAAAAGGGCATCCAACATAAACTGCAAGAACAATTTTAAGACACTGTTGCTGAGGTTTTGGGTGGCAACAACTGACTCCTTGACTGTTTGCAAATCCATTTTACTTTTGCATGTGATATAGAAAGAGTAGTAGGACATTTTGGTTTTGCCTTGTCAGAGCAACTAGTAATTGATTTAGAAGTGCAAATGAAAAGAAAATCCCAATAACTCTTCTCTTTTCACAAAGAAATCCCAAACAAACAATTCTTCATGGCTTTGTAGTCCACTTCTTATTCCACTTCTAATTCCAGTTACAGACAGGTCACCTCCCTCTACCTGCTATCCACCCTTCTCTTGATGCAGCCCAGGATGTGATTGGCTTTCTGGGCTGGGAGCACACATTGCTGGCTCATACTCAGTTTTTCATCCACCAGCACCCCCAAATCCTTTTCCTCAGGGCTGCTCATAATCCATTCTCTGCCCAGCCTGTATTTGTGTCTGGGATTGTCCTGACCAAAGTGCAGGACCTTGCACTTGGCCTTGTTGAGCCTCATGAATTTTGTATGTTCTTGCCTCTCAAGCCTGCCAAGGTCCCTGTGGACTCCTCCCTTCCCCAGCCTGCTGACCACACCACACAGGCTGGTGGTGTGGGCAGACTTGCTGAGGGTGCTCTCAGCCCCACTCTCAGAGCTGTCCACAAAGGTGTTGAACAGCCCAGGCCCCAGCACTGACCCCCGAGGCACAACTTTACAACTTCACCAGTTGGTGCTGCTTCACCAAAACACTCTTCCTAAAATCCACCTCTGATGTCTGTAATTGCTGAAGGCTCAGAGGGAAAAGAAATGCCTACTCTTAGCTTATTTTTTTTGCTAGAATATTTCATGAAAGAACTGCTGATAGATCTCATTGATGTAAGACAGTAGAAAATGATGTGTAGTCTTTGAATTACTTTAGAGCACTCGTTCATTATAATTTAGTTAGACCAGTTCCATTATGAGAGTGATACAGCCATGACTACTGCTATGGGACTGAAACACTTTTTCCACACAAATACCATAATTTCTATAAATTTCCTACACCACAATTATTGCTGAAAAGGATGATAACAGTCCCAGTCTTACTTAAGTGTAATCAAATATTTTCAAACTATTGTCTTCATCCAAGAAAATCTCTCACAGGCTATTGCTTGCTGATAGGGAACAGAATTACTGAAGTGTTCTCATAAAAGAATGTGTGTGATCCTGCAGTCCTGGTCAGTTCCAATCAGGTTGAGCTTTACTCTTCCTCCAGTGGGGTTGCAGAGGTAGTTTTTGGGTGGGCAAATCTGATGCAGAACTTGGAGTTTCTGTTGAGCTTGATCTGAAACTGTGAGCTTCTGTTCAGCTGAATCTGGAACTATGAGCAGCTGGTGTTTGCAAAAGCATTTTTCTGTCCAAGTGATTTGCTTATTTCTTTAAAGAAAACTGTAGCTGAATAAGAAACACAATTTCTGCTGCTGCCTCCAAAACCAAACATGATCTATAAAGCTCTGCAAATTTCATTTACAGGAATCTTCTAAATACATGATTAAACATGTATGTGTAGCCCAGAAGCTCACATCTCAAAATATTCCTATGTAATGGAGCTCCTGAAGTGAAAGGCTTCAAGAAGAAATACTGAAAGAAACAAATGAGGAGAATCAGTTTAACCTCTAAAAATCTCTCTTCAGTCTCTAAATCTCTCTTCAGTCTTCCTCTCTTGTAATTGGAAGATTTTGAAAATAATTGTACTTATTTAGACCAGATAAAGGGAAGACATTTTTTTAGAAGGGTGGGCTGACACTGGAACAGGTTGCCCAGAGAGGTCAGGTTGGATGGGGCTCTGAGCAACCTGATCTAGCTAAAGATGTCCCTCCTCACTGCAGGGTGATGGGACTAGGTGACCTTTAAAGGTCCCTTCCAACCCAAACTATTCTATGATTCTGTTATGTGGACATATTATGTAAAGTGTTCAGTTTTTTATTCAAAATAAAAAGTCTTAACAGCTTTCTCCTGCTCTTCAGATTTTCTAGCAACATAGAATGAAAGAGTAAAAATAATGATGCTGTAGAGTGTCATCTGTACCCCATTAGTGAAGGAGAGAGGCAGTGAACAAGGGATGCTGCTAACTCACTTTATAGGAGTTGTATTGCTGGTTTGGAACACGCTGGATCTTCAGGTCTTGGTCTGTTAATTCATTGTGCTTATGTGTGCTGCTATAAAATTAGACTTCTATTCTTGCTCTTTTATGATAATCCATAAAATAATACCCTAAACTTTTTTCCTACTTTGTGAAATTTTCTGCTTAGTGATGAAGAATGTGTTTTGTTAATCAAGAAAAGAATAACTCAAAATTCCTCCAATAAACAGCTCTTCAGATACTTCCAAGTCACAAATTTGCCTAAAACAACAATAGGGAGGGGTTTGTTTGGTTTAGTCTCATGCCAAAACAGGCAATATGTTGTCTGCTTTTATCCTCATCTGTCCTTCAGGTGCTCCTGGAGTTCCCTGCCTTTATTTTCATACTTACTGGCTAATTGTAATGAAGTCTAACAGAAAAGCAGAGATCTCAAGATGGAAAGCTTTGGCAACTGAAGCCCTAGTAGAGGAGAGAAACTCAGATTATTGCCACTGCTAAGGAAAAAACTACAGTATGGGCTCAAAAGTTGCTTATCATCAGCTTCCTAGCTAGCCATTCAGCAGGTGTAACTGGAAGCTAACCTTTCAGTGCATGAAACAGATGACTGTCCCATTCCCAGTTAATACTCATAAGATCTGGAAGGAAAAATGGGAGATGGGAGGTGTAAGTGGGTTTATTAAAGGAAACAATAGTGCTAAGTGACCTGTCTGTGATGCACAGACAGTTGGGAAAATTACAGTAGGAAACAATGCAGGGACATCAAACATTCATCCCATAGAACCATACACTGGATTCCTTTGTATGTGGCAATTAAAGAATCTGAATTAGCCCAGTAATGGAAACCTCTTATTTTAACCCAAACTGACCCTGATATCTTTCCATTGCAAGTGTGTGTGTTGTGTGTGTAAGGAATAAAATAAAAACTGGTTAGATTTTGTACATGTCAGGAGATGTATGTGTCAGGAGGATGAAGATGTAAGAGGAAGAAACAGTAGTACTATATTTCTCCTGACTTGGGATAATGGTGAGTCCTTACTGGTTCACAGAACAACTTACTCATGCTGGGACCATCTGCAGGGGGTTGCAGAGAAACTGCTGTCTTAATATTGGAGAAAAGGCTCTGAAATCTGGGTTAATAACCATCCCTCCAGTGGGGCTATTTGACTTCTGGAGAAGTTGTTTGATTCTTTTTGAATCTTAAAATCCCATTAGTGAAGTGCAGCTCTGTGAGGTATTGAAAGTAGGCTTCAATTCAGTGTGGTCAGTGCTCAGATATTCTGGTGAGTGCTGGGGAGTGTTCAACAAACAAGCAGCATTCAATGGGCTGGAAGCCAGCTGAGGGCCAGCACCTGCTTATTGAGTCTGTCCAGGGTTCCCCCACAGTGTGGGTGAACTGCTGGAGAGAATGAAGATTTGTTTTATTCAGAAGCCTCATCTGTCCTGTCTACTCCAGTTTTGTAAGGCTCAAGTTTTCTGAGGTACTTCAGTTTTAAGTGAATTCTTATGTGAGGATGATAAATATTTAGACTAAACATTAACACATAACATATTTACTCATGATGTTCATATAAATTGGCTGTAAAATTTGCTATCTCATAATTCCTGCCCTCTGTGAAGTGTACTGCTCAGAATATAAATACACATATACAATGGACAAGATTTGCTTCATGGCATCTAGAGTGCACCTACTTGTCATCTAACTCCCTTAGGCAGTAGAAGGGACAATTTTACAAGATTTGCTTCATGGCATCTAGAGTACACCTACTTGTCATCTAAGTCCCTTAGGCAGCAGAAGAAGGGACAATTTAAGAGTATAATTCATTTCACCATAATAT